ATGAATTTGATGAGAAAAAACATTTTAGAGACAGAATCTTCCTACTCTGAATATTCCAGTTTTACAAACTGATGAACTCAACCAGTGAGAGTGACAGGAGATAGATCACAGGAAATAGATGATTCCCAGGAAATAATAAGTTGGGAATGTGAACTCCAAAAGGAGATAGTACATACCTCATGGTTTTCAAACAAGACCCAAAACTCTAGCATTTTCAAATAGTTCACTATTCTTCTTTAGGAGAGTAAAGTGTTATGTTTAATGAGTATAATGAAATATATAGGCACGGATGTCAACATCACGTAAACTGGACATACTATATTACTCAGCCTTGAGAAGTAGCCAATCAGAACCTAGAGTTGTTGGAGGTTTACTTTGTGTCAAAGAGGTGTGTATAGTACATAAAAGACTTAAGTGTGGTAGTAATTATAAGAAATGTTAACCATTTTTTTAAGGATAAAATAAAATATAAAAATAATGATAAAAAGTGGTGGGAAATAGAGGAAATTATAATATGATGCAATATATAGGAAATATTACCAATAACAAGAAATTAAAGCATGAATAATACTAATAATGTAAAGTAAATTTAATTATGAATTTATTTTTGAAAATCTTTTCAGGGATATTTAATGTTACAGTATTTAACTGTGCTATCCAGCAAGCTTCTTTAATTTCCCTGTTGCTGTCAGATGTAATATTTGACTCTATACCTTTCAGTTTTATACCTTCAGGAGTGTCCAGGCATGTTCTAGTGTTTTGCGACCAGAAGTTCATTTTTTGTTTTGACTGTTGATTTGTGTTTATTAAGACATTCCCATATAGTTGTTTTGGTTTGACCTACATACTGTTTGTTTGTTTTGAATTTCGTACAAAGTTACATGAGGGCTATTTGTGCTAGCTGTCCCTAATTTAGCAGTGTAAAACTAGAGGTAAGGCAACTAGTCATCACTATCCACTGCCAACACTTGGGCTACTCTTTTACCAACAAATAGTGGGATTGACTGTCACATTTTAACACACACCCATGGCTGAAAGAGTGAGCATGTTTGGTGTGATGGGGATTCGAACCTGTGACCCGCAGATTGCGAGTCGAGCACCCTAACCACCTGGCCATACCAGGCCTGCCTACATATTGGATGTTGCATTTTCAATAGTGGATTAAGTAAATAATATGTCTTATAGAGCAGGTTATTTGTTTAGCAGTTCAAAATCACTTGTATGTCTCCTAAAATAGCTGGAAACACACCCACCAAAAGACCTGTGGATCAAGGGACCACTTCATAGGAAGAATTTTGTTGGAACAAGATAACTGATCCACAACTAGATTCAGGGTGTAAGGAACATGGCATGCTACGATCACAATGTGGTGATTGTTAACCCAGAAAAGGAGCTCCATGATCTGAAAGCACAGAGACCTGGAACTGGTACATCCTTGCTTGGTGATATAAGTGACCACTGTGGAGTTGTTTGAGTCTACCATAACCACCCTCCTCTGCAGGAGAGGAAAGAAGTGGGAGAAAGCTCAATGAACTGCCATAAACTCAAGAATGATGATATGGAGAGAAGACTCGTTGATCAACCAGAGAATGGAAATATTCTGGAAGTCAAGATAAGAATTTCAACCCTCTAAAGACAAGTGCATGAACACATGTAAATCTGGATGAGGGGGAGGAAGCAACACCCCCACCACTGTATGGTCTCTGTATAACCACCAAGTCAGATCAACTATGATCAGGGAATGAAGGGTAAAAGGGAGGTCTAATGGGCCTGAGTAGAAGTTTTACTAATCACAGAGTGTCCAAAGAAGGGAACACATATGAGCCTGACCCATGGGAATGCGGGCTTCCAAAAGAGATAGAACATCTCTCGCTGTGAGAGAATGTGAGGTGAGAGTCTTGTGAACTGCTTGTTCTATATCCCAAAGGTGAAGAGGAGAAGGCTGGGCCCAACTGAGGTAAGAATGAAGAAAACCCCCAATTTAATGGGGAATTGAGTGGAGGTAAGAACTGTCTTTCTCCTTTCAGCTGGAATTCCACCTGTGCTGTTTCTTGTAGGAGCAGAAGAGTGCATATCTGGACTGTGATGGTAGAAATGAGCAGGAGCCAGTAATCCATGTAATGATGAGTGTGAAGACAAAAGTAAGAAAATAAATTATTCATTTGGAGCTGTCTTTAATTTACTATTAATGATTATACCTTACATCTATGCAGAATTATGCATTCTTTAAGCACATTTTCCAGTCAAAATGCAGAACTACACAATGCTTGCATTTATGAAAATGAGGATTAAATTAATACTTCATAAAACAGCTGTGATATTTAAAAAATTGCAATAAGGCATTTCTCTTTTATTGCATGTAACAATTCAAAATCTGTTATAAATAATGTTTGATCTATATACACAGAAAGATATGAAAGTAACAGTACAAAGCAGACACAGAATCGAGCTAACTAGCTACTGTCACAAACATAAATAGATATGAGCTAGGGCTTAGTTTGACTGGCTAATACTACATCACATGCATATCCTGTATGGTGCACAGTTCAAGTGCACATGTATCACATGCTTTACTATGCTCCTGTTTAAATGTTTCAGTTTTTTTATGTACTTTTTAAATTTTATACTTGTTTGTGTGTGTTTCTATCATGCATTGAATGCAGAAAATTCATACAAAAAGCAGGTTAGCACTTGCACTGTGTTGTGGAAAATACAAGTTCAAAAGGTCTTGTATGAGTCTATTGTAATTTGAGAACATCAACACAGACATTAAATGGTGTCCAAATAAAATTTCTCACTTGATCCTCTGTCAATTTTTTTTCCATTGTTGAAACATTAACACATGCATCACAAACTAAGGATTGCTCATCAATCTTTATGTCTCTCTCTTCCCCATCTGTAGGAGTAGCTGGATTAAGGCACCAATACTTTACTTCAAGCTTAGGGTCTTCTCCAGTAACAGTTTTATTGTACTGAAATTGAACACTTTTTCCTCTCTGTATGTAAAGAAATGAATAATCTAGAAAGAGAAAAGGTTCATATCTAAGCAAACATGTAGACAATATGACTTCTTAAAATATTTTTGCATAAAAGGAACAAAACATTCAAGTAGTCAGCTCATGCAAAATGTGGCAAGTTACTTCAAAACTTATCAATTAGATGACACAAACTATTGAGATTATAATCAATGAATATACCTGTCAAAAAATGTCTACAATAACAAGGATATCTGTAAAAAAGTCTCAGATAAGAAGGATAAACTTATTTCTACAACATAATACTACCAATTAAACCTTTGCTAAATATATAAAGCAATATATAACATTTAAAGTCCAAAGAAGCTTCTTGTAATGTAGCAGCAAAAGAAACAAGAAACTCAATGACTATGATTATAACTAACTATCAACAAAAATCTTATGAAAAGCATTTTTAGTACCTGGAATATTTTGTCATCAATATATCATCATACTTTCTGAGATATAATTGTGTGGTCAGACAATGTCACCCATCAACTTTAATGTATTGTTTTAATATTTCAACAGTTAACCTCTTCTCCATGTTATTTCCTATAAACCCTCTACACTTACAAGTCTTGAATAAAGATAAATACTGGAAAGTTATATTGTTTTCAATTTTTGCATACAAACTTATTTTATTATAACTAGTTATATGGCAATATAATATTTTTACACATAATAATGTACTTCAGTTTATTCACGACTATTTAAGATTACTGTTCTGAATGTGTCAGGTCTAAGAATAGCATTACTTACTCCATCATAAGTGCCTTCTTTTTACCTTTTCAGCAGTTAATCCTCCTACTATGTTTCTGGTCATATTGACCTAATGCAATTTCAATTAAACTGAGATAATTTTGAATTCATAAAATATTTTTTTCTTTGCATAGCTTTACTTGTTTATGTTAAATATTAGAACTACCACTAAGGGTACAATAAAGTCAAAGATATATGTAATTACATCATAGATTTGCCACTGAAGAAGAAAGGTCCATCTTTTGAAAGTGTCCAGGTTATAGGTTAGTTTATCTTTGTGTTACACTGTTTTCTCAAACCTGTGTGTTTTTCTGACATCATGAATGTAATTACATCATAATATTATGGAAATCAGCATTGGGTCCTATAGACCTAAAACATAATGAGTTAATGATACCTCATTTCTTAAGACAAATCTTTGTCAGTGAAAAGCTTGTGACACTTCAAAAGAACTATCAGCTAGACATTTTTGTAATACAATTTTATCTACATGATAAGAATTCTTGTAGTATTCAAATACTACGTATCGCAGGTGGTATAGACATGGCAGAGTTTTGGCTTTAATGAACTGCACCTGCCTGTAATGAGAGAAGTCCTCAGTATAGAAGTACAAATCTCATCCAACTCTCCAAACAGGCAAGAGCATTCCATTAAAACCAAAACTCTAATACATACCTCACTCTAACAAAGTTTATTTCATATTCACAAAATGTTTACATTTTTTGCAAGTTCTAATTCTGGTACACATTAAATCCAGTGCAGTTAATGAGCAAAATTTAGTCTGAGGAGTTACTTTCTGCAGCAAGTATGACCAAGGAACTTTTTCTGTTTCATGGAATAGTTACTTGTATTCTGCATTATCCTGTGTTTAAAAAACAGTTTTACAACAGCCACACTGTCTGTTTTTCTACAAACTTACATAAGAACTATCTGCACTAGCTATCTCTAACTTGGAAGTGATATACAAGGAAGCTAGTAAACTTTTGTCAGACTGAATAGTTGGATTTGAGCATCACTCTTAAAATGCACCCACAACTCCAAGATGGTGTGTGTAATTTATTTTTACAGAAACAGTACATGAACTATGGAAATTCATCATCCACAGTTCAACACATGAACCATTAAGCCATATTCTGCTGAAGTCAGAGATAGCAAAGATACTTCTGGATTCTTTTGAAGCAAAGGGAAATTTCGGAGGAAATTTCATCCGTTGCTTCTGTGAATTTAAATAGAATAAAACAATATTAACCAAAGTTATATTAGAAACTTAGAAAAGTTAAAGAGACAGAAGAGAGATAGAGGTTATTTGTCCTTCGACCGATTTATCCTCTGAGTCAACGCCTCGAAGGACATATAAAAAACTAACAAGAACAAGGAGAGGCTTGTGTAAAAGATAAGTATCAAGCACAGGGCTAGAAACCGTGTTTTTTATAT